GCTATCATGCACAGCACCTATCAGTGGAGGCTTGCGTGTGCTATGATGCTGAACAAGCTTCAACTGAGCTTCCAGACCAGACTGACAAACAGATAGGCCTGATGATCTACTTCTGAAAAATCAGCCAGTGAAAACACTAGGAACCACCACGGTCCATGGGGTTGTCGAGACTGGGGCCACACTCCACTGTAGTTAATGTTAAGGCAAACCAGAAAGCTTTGGAGACAGGGTGTCCAAGGAGGAGGGCTGTCGCTGAGAATGTCTAAGTCCCAGGAAGCGTCCCACAGAAGGCAGCTATCAGCTTGAGCCAGGCAGTGTGGTGTAGTAGAAAGGGCACAGCTTTGAAATCACACTGGAGGTCAAATCCCAGCGGAACCACTACCTGTTATTTAATGTTACAGAATCTCAGTTGACTCAGCTATAGGACGTAGCAACAATCAGGATTGCACTATGGATTTCAGAACACACAAAGTGCCACTCATAGACATAAAGTAGGCGCCCCAAGAGACTACAAAAGACACAAGACTACCAAAGACACGGGATGGTCAGGAAGAAGAGAGCAGCAAAGGTGGGGCAGCAAAGGCCGAGAAGCGACCCTCCCTACCAGGTTTAAACCTCGAACTGCCTCTCTCACAGTCCTCTACGCAAAGCCCCTTTTTCATTTTTTGATCTATGCGAGGCGCGCCTCGGGTTCTCTACCTGGCCGCTGACTGAAGGATAACTGGGAACGGCGTGACCATAAGGAAATAACTTTTTTTCTCCCTACCGAGAGATCTGAAAACCAACATATCTGAAATGGCTGCCGCCACACCAGCAGGAGACCAAGATCCAGAGTGGCGGTCGGACTGAGACTTTGCCCCCGGAGCAGAGTGCCCAGAGTTGACCTCTAGTGTGCAGTGGACACAAATTGCTGAGTCACGGAGAGGCTGCACCGCCCGCCCAGGAGGCGGGCCAGACGATCACGTGCTGGGGGCTGTATCACAACAACGGCGCGGCGTGCAGCACCCGCGGCCGGCGCCGCTTCCTCCCGCGACCCACCAGCTCTGCGAGCGAGCATGCTCAGCTCGAGCCCGCGAACGCACGGAGTCGCTAGTCGCCCTGCTCCGTAATCCGAGTTTTTCGGGCAGCCCTGGAGGCGGGGCTAACGGCAGTCACGGGTGCTGAAGAACAAGGATGCTGTACCTGGATCACTTTTGGTCAAGCGTGGGTTGGGACCGGCAGAGCGAGTTTTGAGTTTTTCTGCGGAAGAAATGACCAGATAATCCTTTGTTCATGTCCTCTAGGAGAGCTGATTCTGCAAGATTATGAGCTCCTAATTTCTACTTTAAAAATCATTAAGCCCTAATTGACCTATCCACTGAACACTTACTCCCAAAAGTCGATTTCCAGTTGGAGGGTGCAGTTTGCCTAATGAAATCTATAAGTAGACCTACTAATTCAAAACACTGTCAATTGGAGAGGAAATGACTGTTGATGGATCTGACTTCTGTTTGTTATTAATATTGTTGTTTTCCTTGTAGCTAAAGTTGCTAAAAAGATCGCTTCTTGGACTCTGGTGGTGTAGTGTCTAAGACATTTGACTGCTAACCAGAAGACTGGGCTGCAAACCCACCAGCCACTCCTTGGAAGGACGATTGGACAATCTACTTCCATAGAGAAACCACCTTAGAAACCCAAGGACGGGTCACTATGAGTTGAATCCGCTCGAGGGAAGTGAGTGGCCTTTTGGCTAAGATAAAGTGTGAAGTTGCTAAAATGCATGGTGGAGGTGATGGCTTAAATTTGGCATGACTGCCGGGTAATGCCACTACACCTGCACCCAGCTGGGATTTTTCAGAGTCCAGGGGCCCTCACTTGGGTTGCTGGTCAGAATTTGGGGTAGACAGGGAAAGACTCTTTCCTGTGAGTGTGAATCAGAAAATGGGGTAGAATGAAGCAAGTGTTAGTTTCACTGCTTTCACTACCACAAAGGCTTTCTACTAGACTAGAACCTAGTCTCTTACTGAACTGCCCATACACACCCTGCTGTTTGCTCACTCCAATGAAGCTGAGATGCTTTCAAGAGACCAGCCTCACGGTATGGAAAAGTATGCACTTTGTAAAGTTTAAAGGTCTACATCAGTGCTGTTGAATAAAACAGAATGCCAGCTACATACATATATGATCTTAAGTTTTCCAGTAGCCACCTTTAAAAACTGGCACTATGCCACGAGAGCTCCCAAAAAGAAATAGGTGGATTAATTTAAAGAACATTTTCTTCAGAAGGAAGGCTGGACAATCTAGTTCTGTACTGATACCACCTGGGAAACCCAAGGAGGGGTCACTATGAGTTGGGTCTGACTCAACAGCAGTTCGTTTGTTTTGGTTTCACATATTTAAAATATCAACAGGCAACCAATGTAAAATTACTAATGAGCTGCTTACATTCTTTTTCACACTAGGTCTTCAAAATCTTGTGTGCATATTACACTCATAGCTCAAAATGTAGACTAGATTTTCACTGGACATCTTGGATCTGGTTTCAATTTAATGAAATTTACATTTGAAAAAGTAGATTTATATACCCAATTTGTTACACACTTACTTGAAAGTTTTCCAATAACTGAATGGGATATCAATCATTATATTTACATTTAAATTGACTAAAATGAAATAAAACTAAAAAAACAGTTTCTCAGTCACATGAGCCACATTTCAAGTCTCAATGGCTATATGTGGCTAATGGTTATCATGTTAACAATGCATGTCTATGTAAATGTGAGGCGTGATTATTAGAGTAACAACATTTATATGACTTACTTGTTTGTGAAACAAATGACCATCACTGTTTCCGCCTCACTACCTGCTTCCACAGGCAGGTTAACATTTATTAAGCTCCTACTGTATACCATGCAAGGAGCTCTGGTGGTACAGTGGTTAAGGCATTTGGCTACTAATGCTTCTGTAAAGATTTAGAACCTTGGAAACCCGATGGGGGTCACTATGAGTCAGAATTGACTCGGTGGCAGTGACTCTGGTTTGGTATACCAAGCACTTTTCTAGAACTAAAGGTACCAAAGGTATAAATCATCTTTATCCCAGAGAAAGTCACTCTCCAGTTTAGCGATACATTTTAAATGATCCTATCACAATGTATAGGAGCTCTGGTAGTGTAGTGCCTAGCCACTTGACTGCTAACCAGAGGCTGATGGTTCAAACCCACCAGCCACTCCTCGGAAGGAAGGTTGGACAATATACTTCCGCAGTGATACCACCTCAGAAACCCAAGGACTGGTCGCTATGAGTCAGGTCTGACTCGACGGCACATAACAACAACGTCACAAGGTACAAATAGAAGCATGTACAAATGCAACCGGAGTACAGAGAGGAGTAAATGGGATTTGAAGGGTGAACATGAGTGTGTTAGGTGGAGAACTTCAGGCAGACAAAATGGTGTGCATCAAGGCAGAAAGCCAAGACCACACAGGCAGGGAGGGTACCTACTGGAGGCACTAGCTGAGGCTATTGAAGTTGCCTTTGGACAAATTAGAAAGGGCTTTGTGTGCCAAAGGAATAGGCTTGGTTTTTATCCTGTCTGAGCACTGGAGATTGAAATGTCTCCCATGACTCAAACCTCACTTCACACACACACACACCCACAACCCACTGTGGAAATCACTGCCAGACCTTGGATGTCCCGAAGCCCTGTTATAGGTACACTCAATACAGAAGGTGTGGGAAAAGAGACTCCTACTATCATATATTCATTCAGTAGTTAATAATTGCCTATGAAATGCTAATGACATAAGAGCTCTGGTGATGTGCTATTTAAAGCATTTGGCTGCTGACCAAAAGGTCCACAGTTCAAATCCACCAGCTGCTCTATGGGAGAAAGATGAGGCACTCAGCTTCCATGAAGAAGCAACCTTGGAAACCCTATGGGGTAGTTCTACTCTGTCCTATAGGATTGATATGAGTGGGGATCAATTCAATGGCAGTGGGTTTGTTTTTGTTTTTCTCAAATGCCAACCTTGATAGTGTGAGGAAAGGAGGTACAAGAAGGACACACTGTCTAAGCTCCAGTATATGCATAATCTAATTGATATTACATTTTCCCAGGGCTGCCGTGTTTTCATTCTGTCAGGACATGTTTATTAAACAATTATTTGAAGGCAAGTTACCTCCCTCTTTTTCCCATCGTGATAGGACCAAATCTAGTTGTTCATACTATCTTCTATCCACATGGTAAGTGCACATGAACATCGTTACCACTTTCATCACTAAACAGATGAAACTTAGGATAAATTGTGGAAGTGGCTCCTTCAAATGGTCCATTTGGATATGTTGACAAGGTCCTTTATGTTCCAATGGTTGGGATATGTTCCATCTAGAAAGCACATGTCATCAAATAGTTAAAAAATACACAACTATTATAATTATACATAAGCCGAAACACAAACTGGCTCCTCTCAATAACTGGATTAATTAATTACCTATTCTATGTACATGTACATAAAGTTTAATCTAATTTTATAGAGAGAGGGAAATAACTTGCCCAAATCCGTGTGGGAGCCTAAATTTGAACAGATGCTTCGGCTGACTTTCAAGTTAATATTTTTATCACCATACCCTGCTGTTCTCACCATGCTTTTATAAATGTGAAGTCCTACTCACCTAAAAGTTAACGTGGTGAATTCTTCATTAATTCAAAGTTCTTCTTTTTTGCGTTAGGGAAAACGGACTTTTACCTAGCTCATTTGCCTGAAAAGAGGCGGACCCCACTCTCCCCGCCCGCACCCCGCCCCGCCCCCTCCGACCCCTCCCCTACCACCCCTGCGCACGCTTCCACCGCAGCCCTCTTTTAAGCCCCTTCGAGAGCTCAACCACGCCTCCTCTCCTGCACCTCCTCTCTTCCCCGCCCCCTCCGTGGCCTATAAAATCCGGAGCGACGGATCGTTCAGGGAACTGCCAGCGGACCGACCGGGAACTGGGCATGCTCCGCGGCGGCGCAGGTTTTGGTCACAAGTAGGAAGAAGCCTGTGAGCAACACCCGCACAGAGTAGCGGGAGCCGCTGTCGCACCGCGGCCGTGGAGTCCGTCACCACCGCCTCGGAGCAAGAGCAGGAGCGGGAAACCGAGCAGGCGAAGGGCAAGGCCACCGGAACAGGAGCCTCCCAGTCTTCCCTCCGGTCTTCTGCTTCTGTGTCCGCGCAGTGTGCGGGACCCTAGGGTCCGTAGCCTGGGCGTCAGGGAGTCCCGCGCGAGGAAGCCGGAGCGAACGGGACCTTCCTTCTGCCGACTGCGGCCCTAGGGCGCCCCCACGGGGCGGAGCAGGCTGTGCCGCCGACTCCTGCGAGTGACTGAGTGTCCGGAGAACGCCCAGCGCTCGTAACGAGTGGCCCCGGTCAAAGGAGGAGAAGGAGAGGACGACCATGGGGCTACTGTCCCAGGGCTCGCCACTGAGCTGGGAAGAGACCAAGCGCTACGCGGACCACGTGCGGCGGCACGGGATACTCCAGTTCCTGCACATCTACCACGCCGTCAAGGACCGACACAAGGACGTGCTCAAGTGGGGCGACGAGGTGAGCGCCCTTGCCCCGCCCGGAGTCCCTGCCAGTCCGCCCGGCTCAGCCTTTGTTCGGCGAGGCCCGACCCGCAGCCCCTGGACCCCAGACCTGCCTGCATCCTGCACGGCTCCTCGAGGTCCCCAGGCGCTTGCTGTAAGGGACCTCCAGGCCAGACCTCCCTCCCTCTCGCGTTGGTTCGTTCATTCATTCATTTGGGTGTTTTTCATTCGATTGATGTGTATTGGGCGCCGGGAGGGCGTGAGCATGAAAAAGTGACATTAGATGCTGTAAGTAGTTTTCAGGCTGATCTGCCTGCGTGCTCTTTTTCAATCCACACTGGTGTCCCCAAACTCGCTTTTGCGATTAACCCAAAAGGAGCTAAATTGTCCTAGAAGGCCCTTGGGTTATTCCGAAATCAGGTGTGTAGGATGTTTGCTTCTGCTCCAGCTGATCCAGATGGCTTCCTCTTACACCTCCAAATTCTTCTTGTCACCCCTATAACACGCACTCTTCATAAATAAACTGAAGCACGGTTTCAGTTTTCCTGAAGGAGTGGGTCAGGAGAGGGAACTTTCCTGATCTTGTTTAATCTTAAATGGAAACTCTTAGAGCTTCAAAATTGGGATTTCTTAGGGCCTTTCGGTGGTCTAGCTTCGACCTGTAAACTTTAAATATCATTGCTTCAACATGTGTGCATCCTTTAATTCTCAGTATATTGAATCATTGTCAGTTTGAATTATCAGGAAAGCGTTGTCTCCTGTTGAAGTCTCTTCTACTAAAGGGTTTTGTGCGCTCCTTACTTTTTTTTTCTTTTGTTTTGTTTTTTAAATCACATGTTTATAACTAAACTCAAACGCCTTGAGTTCCGACTCAGCGACCCTATAGGACATGAAAGAACTGTCCCACAGGGTTTTCAAGGCTGTAATATCTAGGGAAGCAGAATGCGGAGCGAGCGGCTGGCTGGTGAGTTTGAACCTGTAACCTTTTGGTAACTACTGCACAGCACCAGGACTCCTTCACATGTGTGTATAGTATAGATAATTAAATGACTTAAGAAGTTCATCTCTTCCGTGTTTTGCAGCAAATTGCTTGTCACTGGTGTATGTAATTTATTCTTCCAGTCAGTGTTGTGATCACTGTGATCAAGGTGCCATACCTATGCAGAATATCTTCTTGGAAAAAAGTTTTTTTGCTTTCTCTATTTCTAAGATTGGAAGATAATTCTGCCTCCTACAGCTGAAGGAATTGTGCTGTTTTAATTTAGAAAAGCATCTTTACTAGTAAATCACGTTCCTAAAATAAGTGACTTGTCACACTTATTTGGACAGAAAAGAGTCATATGTTTGGTGAAATTCCTTGGTTTTAATTTAACTAAACTTAAGTTCATTGTTCACAGTGTCTGAAATTTTATGTATTAATATGTCATGTCACTCACAAAAATATATGCCCTAAGAAGGCAGAGATGTTTGTGCATCTTTTTTTTTTCAATAACTTGTCATGCTTCCTCTTCCCTCCCTCCCTGTCCCCTTCAGCCCCTTGGAAACTACTAATTTACTTTTGTCTCTCTGCATTTGCCTATTTTAGGTATTTTAGATAAGTAAGATCATATAAGTTTTGTTCATTTGTGTCTGACTTATTTCACTTAACATAGTGTTTTCAAAGTTCATCCATGTCCTAGCATATATCAGAACTTCATTTCTTTTTATGGCTGTATGTTCATATCACATTTTGTTTATCCATTCATCTATTGTTGGACACTTGAGTAGTTTCCAACTTTCGACTATTGTGAATAGTGCTGCTATAAACATTGGTGTACAAGTGTCTGTGTTCCTACTTTCACATCTTTTAGGTATATACCTAACAATGGAATTGGTGGTTCTAAGTTGAAATTTTTTGGGGAATTGTTGAACTTTTCCACAGTGACTATACCATTTTACTTTTCCACTAGCAATGGTTAAGATGTTTCAGTTTCTCCACATCCATGCCAATATTTACTTTCCATTGGCTGTTGAGTGTCTGTTTCACTCTTTCCCTATGGCCTAAGACTAGTGCCTGGTACAGTAGGCATCAAGTACTTGTGGAATGATGAATGAGTGAACTGCCATTTAAGGTGACTCATAACTAGCTCTTTGAGAATTAAAAGTTAAAATTTAATTTGTGTCTGTCTCGATATTTAATTAGGTGTACCTTAAAAAAAAAAAAAAGACACAAAGGCAGTTAATGCCTTTGATAGTCATTGTGCCAGATAGGACTACATCTGCAGGAGACTTGTAGTAGTGGGAGCACAGCAACTTATTATAGAGACCTCTCTTCCCTATCTCACCCCTGCAGGACTCTTCCTATCCGTCTGTGGCCCATTTGCTGTCTTTTCCCAGGATCCTCTAAGAGTCTATAGTAGAATAAAACAAAGTGGGTAAGAGTTAAGAGTAAGATCTTACAGTATAAACTGTTCCCAGTTTGGGCAGACTTTGAAACAGAGAGTGTTACTAATAGGTTTAGGCTTTTTCCCCTCTCTTAAGGATAAAGGGGGATGGAGAAGAGTGGCAGTAATGCAGACTTGTATTATGCTTCTAAATGGGAAAATTGGTCCCATTGTTTCAGCTAGGTAATTGTGCTCCTTGAAAACATTTTACTGGTCATATCTGTTGAGAATTAGACTTTTGAGTTGTTCAAGACTGTAGTAAGTTGGCTGGAATAGTATTGCTCTTATGTTAAAACATGTTAAAGATGTTCTCTGAAAACTTTCATGTGACTATTGAGAATGCATCTTTAAATTTCTTGTTACACATAATCAGTTTCATAAATGAAATATACAAAGCTATAAATTGTGAGCAGCATCACAATAAATGGAGAGAAGATTGAGGTTGTCAAGGAATTCACGTTGCTTGGTTCCACAATCGATGCCAACGGAAGCAGCAGTCAGGACATTAGACGACGTGTAGCATTGGGAAAGTCAACTGCGAAGGAACTGTTTCAAGTGCTGAGGAGCAAGGATATCTCATTGAGGACTAAAGTGCACCTGACACAAGCCATGATATTTCCAATCACCTGGTATGCATGTGAGAGCTGGACAATGAATAGGGAAGACCGAAGAAGAGTTGATGCTTTTGAGTTGTGGTGCTGGCGAAGAATGCTGAAAGTACCGTGGACTGCTAAAAGAACTAACAGATCTGTCCTGGAGGAAGTGCAGCCAGAATGCTCCTTGGAAGCAAGAATGGCCAGACTTCGTCTCACCTATTTTGGTCATGTTGTAAGAAGGGACCATTCCCTGGAGAAGGATGTCATGCTTGGTAGGGTGGAGGGTCGACGAAAGAGGGGGAGGCCTTCAGGGAGATGGATTGATACAGTGGCTGCGATGATGGCCTCGAGTATAGCAGGGATTGTGGGGCTGGCGCGGGATCGGGCAGTGTTTCGTTCTGCTGTGCATGGGGTTGCTATGAGTCGGAAACAACTCGACGGCACTTAACAACAACAACAACATAAATTGAGTCTTTAAAACTGGATTTAAGAAATGCTGCTGCTGCTTTTTTGGCAGCATTTTGCTACTTCTTTTATGATCTTAGACTTTTTTCTTTATGACATCCTCCTTTCGCCTTGCTTTTTTTCCATCAACAAATCAGTGTCCTTTGGAGTGAGGAGTGTACTGTTTAATAGAAACCACAGATAGAAAAAAGTTATCCTAGATTTTAAAAAATAACCCTGTTCTTCTTACTTTAAATTCTGCTTCAATCCTGTCTCTAGGTGGAGTGTAGAATTGTCGAGAAGAGTAACATATTCCTGCCTGCAAATGTGGACAGTCCAGCTGGAAATAAACACCCGAGACAAGGGCAAGAATTCTGATTATCAATACTGCCCAATAGATTACAAAAAAGTTCTGCTCATATTTTCTTCCTCTAAAATGACCCTGGTCTCTTCCTTGGGGTTATTTTGCCCACCCTTGACCTGTAAGATGCCAGTCCTTTTTCTCACTATGGTACTTCAGCCTCCAGTATAGGTAGAGAGAAAAAGTGATGTTTTTCAGGGGACTCACACTTAAGTACTTCCTAATGCCTCTGACTATTCCTCCAGCATCATGTCAGAGTAATCATCCTTTTATGTTATGGAGCATTATTTTTCAAAGTGCAAGTCATGATCCATTAGTGCATTGAGAAATAAATTTAGCAGATTCCAATTAGGATGTTTTAAAAACAGAATTAGAATAGAATGAAGAGTTTTAGTTCATATACATATTTAAAATTTTAATACAAACTTTCAAGTTATTTATTTGAGATGGTGTGTATTATTTCTTTCTGTGTGTCGCAGTCAAAAGGACCTTGGAAAGCACAATCTCAATTACAATGGAAAGCTTCTTTAATGAGGTGAGCCTGGTGAAAAAGAAGGGGTAACTCACTATTGCTTGGACTGAATAGATGTCTGAAGATAGACCTAGAGGGTCAGACAGCATGCAAGCTTGTTTGTATGTTGAAGCCTTGGGAAATATTAAAAAAGTTGGCTGAACAGATAACAGTATAGAAGGGTGTGGTAGGTGGCATGGCCTCTAGAGATGGAGAGCTTTGCCAGACACTAATGTTTTAGATATGATGTGTTGGGATATGCTAGTGTGGTACCAAAATAACTGCTTTTCCTGGGAAATTCTGGTGTTGCACTTAACAGGGCTATGGACTTGGATTAAAAAATAAAGAAAAAAAAATGAGCCTTTAAGACTGTGGTCATAGGTATACTTGGAGGGGAAGACCCTGCCACTTTAGAAAGGCTAAACTCTAGTTTCTAGAATAGTATTTATCTCTTTGCACCAGAAAGAACTCTGGATTTGGAGTTTGACTTCTGTTTTAGTCCAGGGCCTTCTAACCTAGTCATGTGATCTTGAGCCTCAGTTTCCTCATTTAGAAAATGAGGGGGTTGTATCCTCTCTGAGCCTGTCCAGCTTTTACAGTTTGAGTCCATAAGAATCTTAATAATATACATATTTCAACTAGAAAATGTTATTCTTTAAAATTCACCTAGAGATAATCTTT